AACTTTTGGTAGAATTTATTTATTATAATAATTTTTAATTTTTTTTTTTTTTTTTTTTTAATTTTGGGAATTTTTCTATTCCGAGTATAAATGCTTTTGATTGGAGATCTAAATTCTAATTACTCTTAAGGACTTGTATACAATTAAACATTGCAAAATAATTTACTGTAAATTTTAAAATGCAACATATTTTTATATCTTCTTTAAAATTTCATCAATATTTATTAGTTCGATATAATTATAGCAAAGTTAACATTTAATTATAATTCACATTGATTTGTCGCACAGCCCTCGCATTTGGCAGCCCTGTCCCACAAGCCATGCAAACAGTGGTCAACGGGGGCCCCAGGTTTAACAAGCAAGTGTAGAAAATGTAGCAGCTAAATTCCAAGCAACATTTTGTGGACGATGATAGTCGTCGCACTGTGGTTGTTGTTGTTGTTGCTGCTGCTGCTGCTATTGTTGTTGTTGTTGTTGTTGTTGTTAGTGTTGGTTGTTGGTTTTTTAGAATTGCATTTTTATTGTCTGCCACTTTGTTGCTACCACTGTGTGTCGAGTTGTTGTTGTTGTATAAATAAACCATATGGTTAAAAGCGTAGCATATTCTTCTTCAGATGTTGTTTTTTTTTCTGCTGCTGCTGTTGCTGCTCTTCTCCCTGCTTCTCTCATTTCTTACTTGGTTGGCTGTCATCGTCTTTATTCTTGTTGTTGTTGTTGTTGCTATAGTCTTCGGCTTGGTGGTTACCTCGTGTCGTTGTTGTTGTTGTTGTTTAGATGTGGCTATGAAGTTTCTGCTTCAGTGCGTTTGTAAATGTTTATCAAAATGTCTTGTGCCGTTCTCTAAGTTCACCCTGCCTCCCTCCCCCCTGGATCTCTGTCTCTCTCTATATGTATGTGCCTTTCTCACTCCCTCTCGATCTCTCTTTGTACTGTGTGCTGTTGTTACTCTTCTGCTTGCTTGTATTTCTCTTTTTTGTTACATTTGAAACGTTGGTCGTCGCACGATCATTAACCGCAAAACATTGTTCTTGTGGCATGTTGGGCTGGTTCTATCGCCAACTCGGCAACATGTTGTCTGCTCGCCATGCCCCTGGACAGCACACTGTTGCCTCTGGGCAGTTTGTTTGTTTAGCGAATTCTTGGAAGCCAGGGCGCAAAATATGTCGCACCACACATAATGAAGAAATTGATTGCAATGAACCCGAACCAAATCGTTTAAACTATAGCTGGGAACTGAGGTCTGTAGAATCGGAAATAATTCAGATAATAATTCACTAAGTAGGATTCTAGTGGATTGATGTACGTATATTAATAGGAATAGCCTATGCAGTTATCAATAGGTTATTTAATTTATATATCGATAGATAGAATAGATAATTAAAAATCTCAGTTAAAAATCTCATTATATTTAACATTTAAAAAATTCAAATACATAAAGAGCTTACGTTTTCAGAAAAAAAACTCAATGATATATACAAATAATTTGCTTACTAAACGGAATACCCTAACTCTAAATGTAACTGTTCATTCTGCTGACACTTCTACTTGAACTCTTCTCACTTTATTTGATAATATAAATCATCGTCTTATAGAGCTTCCGTTGCTCTTTTTAGGTGGCGCCGCTGTCACCTAAAATCTCTTTCGCATGTCGCACAAATTTTCACCAGACAGACGGCAGACGAATAAGATATAAAAAGCAAGGCAGCAGAAAAAAAGAGCTCAACATCAATGAAAGCGACGCCAGAAAAAAAAAAATAAAATAACATACAAGGCTACACAAATACAAAAGCTATACAAGCATGCACACGCACACATATACGCAGAGTCATACACACTCGCACACTCTTGCATATGCTCACAGCGAGAATCTCTCCAGTTTTAATCGATCGATTTAATGCGCTGTGTGACATGGCTGTAAATCACACGGCGCGCACTTTTGTATCCATGAGATACATTGCCCAGCGCATAGATACTTTTATACGCTGCGATCGCTGCAAAACAAATCGAATGCAGCTCCAAACTAATTACCAAATTAAAAGCTCATTAAAGTGTATGTGTGTGTCTTCCTCTTCTTCTCTTTCTTTCATTTTCAATCATACAAAGATTTAAGCTGTGAAAACACATTTGAATTGCGACTTGCGTCACGCCGTTAATAAAGTGAATTAACAAACGTGAAGCTGCAGCAAGCAGTTCAAATAAAAAAAGGAAGAAACAAACTTTAATGTAAACAATTAAAATGTTTTCGTTTTGATTTTTTTTATTAAGTTTTATTTGGAACTGTTGCTGGTAATATAGTCATTAATGAGCTTTTCAATTTAAAGTTGTGAAAGTGCAAGAGTCTATTGATCTCAGCGAGTGCATTAAAACCAAATTTATATTAGTTTCGGGCAATCTGAAAAAATATATGCAATTGAAGTTGATTGATTAAGGGAGCTAACGACATTTAAAAGGGGCTATTAAAGTTCATTTATTTGTTTATTAAGCGGAGAGGGAGAGAGAGAGACAGAAAGAGAAAAAGAGCCAAATGAATGGCTCATAAATGAGCGTTTAGTTAAAATTACTTAAGTTTTAATAAGGCCATAAATAAATATATAATGTAAACCACCTAAAATGTGAGCACATTTTATAAATTACACAGTTAATGTAGAGGGCAATTAAAATGGTTTTCTGAGTTCGTAAAATATTTTATTATTATATTTCTTATATTATATTTATAAAGGTTTATGTTTAAGATTTAAATTAGAGTGCATCAAAAAATACCTCCATCACTATAAATTCCATTAAATGCCAAGCTGCAGCTTAGATTACAGGCCAGAGCAAAAACGTTTATTATTTATATTGCTGCAGTTGGCTAAATATATTACCTGCATTCATTCAGATCGAGTGAGCACATTCCGAGAATCATATCGTTTAAAGACTCCTGCAGAAGGTATCATTAAACGACGGACTGCATTTAATCACAGGTCCGGCAACGGCTTTGGCTATATGTTTCAACAAATTCCAGCAAATCAAAACATATATGTATATACATATATAAGACTACGACTTGTTGGGATTGGGTCTCGGACAGTCGTTGTGGCTGTGGGTCTTGGGCAGGAGCGCACGCGTAATGGTCAAATGAATGCGCAAATGGCTGAAATGAAAACGGGCGACGGGTATCGTTGGCCGGCCAACGTTTGGTCAGCCTTGCCCCAAGCAGACGCTGTAAGGAGGCAGCAGCAGCAACAACAATAACAACGAAAAAACCCATGCTGAAGACGTTATGGTTCATAAAGCAAAAACGAGCAGCAGACAACAACAGCAACAACTACCAGAATGAATAACAACAGAACAACAACAACAACAACAGCAGCATGGCCCGAGAGAGGGAGCTAGAGAGAGAGAGAGAGAAAAAACGCGACCAAGCAACAGCCGCCCAAACATTGGAAAAACATCTGCTGCCTGCCACAGTTGATGAACTCGATTCGCTTTGCTCACCCCCTCTGCCGATTGCAACCTCTGCTTTGTTGTTGTCTCTCTCTAACTTCGTTCTTGTGCATTTGTTGTCTCGCTTGCCCAGCGTCTGTTGCGCAGGCGCACAGCCACGTACCGAGAGTATCGAGTACCGAGAGCAGCAGCGAGTACAACTGACAGCAACTGCCACTACCTCTGCCTACTCCTCCACCTTCTATGCTGCTCCATCTCTCTCCTCCACCTCTGCGGCTCCATTGCCTCTGCCCTCTGCCACTTCTGCCTGCTGCGCGTCAATGTTTTCCATTTATAATTCTCATGCCTTGCTGCAATGCCTCTTGCTCTGCACCACCTCACTCGCCCCTTCGGCTCCTCTCTTCCCTCTACCTCATTCTCTCCCTCTCTCTCAACCTTCTCTCTGTGGCTGGCTCTGTGTCTTTTTTAATTTGGTTCACAAAATACCGCGCGTTGTTGTTGAAATTCTTTAGCAATCGCTCCGTTTCGACTCAGTTACCCCTCGCACTCCTCACCTCGTCTCCCTCCTCCGCTTCCTATCCCTCTCCCTCGCTCTCTATCGCTGCTGCTGCTCTACCACTTAAAGACTCGAGCTGCTGCTGCCGCTGCTGCTGTTCCTGCAGCACCACCGTCTGGCAGTGCTCGTCGCTCGATTTTTGACAGGTGGTGCAGTTTGTATTCAATTTCTTTTGGGCCGTCGCCGGCGACGACTTTTGCTCTTGGGCTCTTGTTGAATTTTTTCCTTCTTCTTCTTTTTTTTTTTTTTTATTTTGGGTACGTTTTCTTTTCTTGGTGTTATTTTTTTTTTTCGTTTCTTTTTGAATTTTTGCCTATTCATAAAACAGCAAATGAGTTCAGACAGCAGCTCAACGCAGACAGCTAACAAAAGATTACCCAGCCAACACACACGCACAGCTCAGTCGAAGGATGCTGTACAGACTCTGGGACGGGGCTCAATCTTTGAGCTCAGTTCAATGCACTTTACCAAATTAGTTTTGATATGCCCAGTGTCATTAGCTAGTATAGGGTATATATATGGGATATGGAAAATATTTTAAGTATAAACAAATATGAAATAAATAATTTAAAAAAATATGAAATATAAAAATATTTAATTAAAATATAGTAAAAAATAAAAATATATAAATGAAAAATAAAAAAGAAATTAATTTTAAATAAAAAAAAATAATAATAATAAAAATAAAAAAAAAATAAAAAAAATAAATGAAGATATATTAAAATAATAAATTATTTAAATTATAGTTAAATAAAAATTTAAAAAAGCTTAAAAATAAAATAAAAAATGTAAATACAAAAAATAAGTAACCATAAAAAAAATTTATATTCGAAATTGATTTATGTTATTTTGAAAATGATTTTAATAATTTTTTTTTATCTATTGCCGAATGTCTAATGCCTGTTTACATATATCTTAAGTATTATAGGGTATTATTAAGTGGCTCAAACAGCACTGCGAATCTTTTTTGCAAAGACACAAAACTAATTGGAATCTCTTTTTTCTTTATTTCTTGCAGTCGTGTCGGTTGCCAGGATGCAGAAAATGCGGCATTAGTCACAGCAGCCAACAGGAGAGGAGCTAAACAGTCACAACAGGACACTCGAAGCAGTGAGAGAGACAGAGCGGGAGAGAGAGAGATAGTAGTCCAAGCTATAGAGGAGCAGAAAATTGTGTTAACTATGCCACAGCAAGTGTATTCGGCGCATCCAGCGCTGGCCGCTGAGCAGCTGGCAGCGCCAAGCAGCTCCACAGTCGCCGCAGCGAGCGGCAGCGCCAACAGCAGCAGGCGAAAGAATACGCCCAAAAAGTACACACTCAGCCGAAGCTGTGCGGCGCTGGCAGCTGCAGCAGCGGCAGCCAAAGCAGCAGCAGCAACAACAGCAACAACAACAGCAGCAACGGCAACAGCGAGTGGCAGCGATTCGTGTCACACGCGCAAAACGCAGCCAGCGCGAACAAATTTGGCGTCTGTGGACGATGATGATGATATCGAGTGCGAGGATGTGGATGATGTCAACTTTGGCCAGGAGCAGAGTGTGAGGCAAGCATCGACACCAACAGCAACAACAACCAAAGACATGGACTACGATGAGACGGATCATGTGCAGTTGCGCCACAAGCGCCACAGCCGACAAATGCCGCACAAACAGCTGGACCGAGGGGGAGGAGGTGGTGGTGGAGTGGGATTTGCTGCCTCCACGTGTGCCGCTTCAACTGGTTCCATTAGCGACTTGAGCAGCGTATTGAGCTCACCATCGGCCAGCACCGTCTCATCGCCGCTGTCGACGCCCACGCGAACGGCGCCGTTGCAGCTGCAATTGCAGCACAGCCATCAGCATTGCTGCCACAAGCAGTCGAAAGCCGCAGCAGCAGCGGCGGCGGCAGCAGCAGCAATTGGAGCCACACACCACCACCAGCCACACCAGAAACAACAGTCGAGCAACAGTCGCCAGCAGCAGCAACAGCAACAGCATCAGCATCATCATCACCATCATCATCATCATGCGGCGGCCGCTGCTGCTGCTGCAGCGGGCTGTGGTGCCAACGGCTCCTCCTCGTACAAGAGCAAGAAACTTGATCCGCGCTCCAGCCCGTCGCCGTATCGCCAGCTATTGCCCATTGCCCTGTGCCTGCTCTCGTTTGCGCTGGTCTTTGCCACGTTAATTGTTTACATGGACACGACAGGTGAGACAAAATACACACTCCTAAGTTCTCGTTGGTCCATATACTCTAAACTCTGAGGGTATTCCAAAACTGTTGGGGAAATTCAGAAATTAAACATGAGATTGCATCTTAATAACTCAATAGCTTGATATAGGGTATCATAAATCTATCATAAAGCTAGCATACCATATAGATTATAGCTCAGGGACAATCGTCAACCTCCAGCAAAAACAAATTTCAAAATGAAGTTTTTATATAAGCTATCTTATCTTATATATTATCTTAATCTTTCCATTAGGGTATCTAATCTTCATTCTGTTCAGCTCCATTTTATTGTCATATATATATTCATATAAATATGATATCTTTGGCATATGTCTCATCTGTTTATTTTTTTTCTCCATTTAAATTTGCATTTTTTTGGATAAGTTTTCTTTCACGTTTTTTCTCACTCTCTCTTGTGTTTGCTTCCACCGGATGTAGGCTGTGTTTGGCTTTGGCTGTCTGCTGTCCTTTCCTGGGCACACTTTTCAGATTAGTTTACGCATCCTCCTAACTAGCCCCGAGTCCTCGTTGCCCTGCTTAGTTTATGCTTAGCGCATCTTTTGTCATAGATCTTTTTCTCTTGTTTTTTTTTTTGGGTCTCTACATTTTTTTTTGTACTTCTTGGCTTGGCGCAGTGGCGCTTCCTGTCAATAAAAAAAAATATATATATATATATATACATATATATATATGTATATATACATATACAACAGCAAAGAACAAACAAAGTTGTCTGATGAGGTCTCACTTGGCAACAGCCGTGGCGCAGCTGCTGTCATAACGTCATCCACGGCGACACGTGCCTGGCTACAAAGGCCACCGCTGCAACGCCAAAAGAATTTCTAATTTGCCATTTGATGAATGGCTCAAAGAGCAAACAGTTAACAACAAACGGCAGAAACAGCTAGAGTCAGTATGCCTACTGCATTGGGGCCTCAATTCGAGGCTCAAGTGTTGCAAGTAAAAGTGTGTGCTATGGAGCAGAAGGGAAAACCTGAAGATTTACAGATACTCTATCAAGTACTATACTGAACTAAAGCTTTAGAATATATTTTATCATATTATTTACATTGATAAGAAAAATGCAAACAAAAATTGAGGAAAAATGAATTACTCAGAATTGTGTAATTTACTTTGTACACGAATATCCAACCAAAATTCGTCAAATTCAAATAATATACATACATCGCGCTAGGGAAAGAAAGACGCTAGCTTTAATTGAGAAATTGAGAAACCTTGCCTTAATTGATACACCCACCAGGGTACAAAAGCTGGACTAGCTAGTTAGTAAAAAGCCTTGTTTAGTTGATTTATTTAGGCATGAGTCATTTATTTGCTGATTTGCTAGCTTTATAGTTACATCTATCCAAATTATATAGCCAGACAGCTAGACGGACAGACGAGCAGCCTCGCATAACTGTCGGATGAGGCAATTTTCTTTTAATTCGCTAAAATATTTTGTTTTTATTGCGCCGATGTCGTCGTTGTATGTGGAATATACATACATATGTACATAGTGTCAGTCAGCTATATAGTCGTATTTGGACTTGTCTCTTGCCTCTAGTACAGGGCAAAATAAATTTGCTTAATTTGTGCCGTTTTCTCAATGAAAGCGCACGAGCAGCGAAATTGGCCTTTGCATATGAATTAAGAGAATTCTCTGTATCCCCACTCCCAGTGGCTATTTAGTAGTGCCTGATGGATCACCATTCGCTGACTCATACCCCCAAAGTGACTAAGGGCGAACTACGAGTGGTTAAGAAGAAGAAATCAGCAAAAAATAAAAAAAGAGAAAACACGCCTCTTTCTCCTTTGCTTCAATGAGACCCAAAATATATCAATGGCACTCCATTGTGAGTAGTGTGTATTACTGAGCAGCTGTGAAGCAGCAGCCTCAGCCTGATTGCACAGTGATTCAATGTATGCTTAATGCGGTGGCAAATCAATCAAAATATGTCCATTTTGATTTGATTTCAGTATATATGCGCAAACAATAGAATTGTATATAAGTTGTGTTTGTATAGTTTCTTATATTTGCTGCAAGTTTAGTAGAGTATTATGGGTATTATGAAACATACAAGTTTTTGTATGCTAGAATATAATGAAATTTTTAAATGGATTTATTTTAATATGTATACACAATTAATAAACTTATATAAAATATATAAATACTACAAGCTTAGATTTAAAATTAGTCAAAATGGGTCTATGAGTCTAATAATATTTCATATTGATTATCTAGTTGAAGTCTGAGAAAGTTCATTAGAAACAGTAAAATAAATCAAACTCAAATATTTGTCATTGAAGTTCACTTTTAAACTTGAAATTAATATAAATTCAATGCTGCATCTGAATATATTTTACTATTCATTCATAAAATATTTTCATTCATTGATTGTGCATATTGCACCACTGTGCGTAGCTGGCAATGAAGTGCATTGCGAATTCTGCTCAAGCACAAGTAATTTTCGCAGCTCGTTGTCGTCAGTTGTTGTTTCTGTTGTCAACAGCTTTCTTAGTTGTTGTTGTTGTTGTAGTGTGCTTCCTTTAGCTTGGATCGATTCCTTCCGCAGCAGCGCGCCTTTGTCTTAAAATAAATATTAAAATGTATGCAAATTGTGCAGCGAATTAAAAGTCGATAAAGTCGCTGCCAAATTGCAGTTAGCAGTCTGTCAGCCAGGCAGACAGTCAGTCAATCATTCAATCAGTCACTCAGTTAGTCAGCTGATAACCACCCACTTTTTTAAGGCTGGCTGCTGTTTTAGTTTTCTTTCTTTACATGTGCTTTTTCTTTGCTTCTCTTTTTTATGTTTCTTAACTCTGCCGCCACGTCGACTAGACGGGGCTTGGCTCCAACTGTAATTTTGGGGCTGCTGGGCGTGGCAGCTGCCAGTTGGCTGGCGGAACAGCTTGACAGCTCTCCGTGGTCGCTTGAATATGTGTTTTCTTTTTGGCTGGCAGCTCTAGTTTTATGGCCCATTGATGGCTCTATTAGGTTTATACGAGCCATACGTCGGATTCATAACCCATAATATTACAAATATGAGCATGCTGTGCATAAATTAGCCGCAGTCGGAGTCGGAATCGGAGTAGCCGACGCAGCCGCTAAGCCGCATATAAATTCGAACACGTTTCGCCCGTGTGGCACAAAGGTTGTTGCGGCTGCTGCCGATTGGGTTCAAGCAGCCCAGACGAAAACTTCAAATCATTCAAAATAAGAGAAGCAGCGGCTGAAGAAAAAGTAGTTAAAGAATGTGAACCCAAATGCGCTTATTAAAGTGACAAATTCTTGTGGCGGCTTCAAAGCCAAAGCGCATTTCAAATCTAAAAAAAAAAAAAAAAAACCTCGGCCATGACTTTACAGAATGAAACAAACAAAAATTCCAGACTAGACATTGGCGTCTTCTCTTTCTCTTTCTTTTCGTTTATCTAGTTTAAAATTTTTATATATATTTTGTGTATGTATTTTATTGTGCTTGCCTACGCTGTTCTTGTTGTTACAACATTTCTCTTTGAGCCCGCGTCCTCGGCCTCTTTTACAATCCCCGAGCTCGTTGTAAATGTCACGTTTCAGCTTTGAAGCGCTACTTAATCATGGATCCATCCAGTTGATAATTATAATAATGATGATGATGATAATGATGCTATATGATGAGTGTGTGCGGTGTGGTTCAATCAAAATGAAATATATGTCGAAATAAAAACTTTCCATTCTCTTTTGCATTTCTCAACTAATCTTATCTTTTTTTCAATGACTGATATTGCGTTCTATCTAAATATTTCTTATCGGCATGTTTGCTTGAACTTATTGCAATCGCCTCTATTAGTCAGAAGATATTACCAATCAGTTACATGCTCAATAATCATTAATGATGTTTTGAAATCGTTTGAGAGCCTTACAGAATTTATATTTAAATATTCATTTATATAATACGTTCAATAACATTTTTTATTTTTTTTTTATTTATATATAATCGAAATAAATTAAATATCAATTGACGTTCTTTTTAATGAATATAAAATTTATAAATGATAAAATCATGATTATGTTCTCTTTTTTCATACGATGGGATAGCCCATTGAACTTGCTTATAGAGTTGATTCATTGCAATTTTGCATGCCACACTTTATGCTATGTTAACAGCACATCCCCCCTCTCTCTCCCTTTCTCTCTCTCTCTCTCTTTCGCCTCTTACTCTCTGTTACTTTCTCCTATTCTCTCGCTGTTTCCCCTACACATAGCCCACTTATCGCATGCCCTGGCGCACCTTCGACTTATACCAACTGCACTCTGGCTACTGCCACGCCCTCGCCGCTCTGAAATGGGCGTTATGGGTGGGCGGGGCGCCAACGTTGCCACATTTTAGCATTGTTGACATCGCGTGGCCGCAGCTGCACGATTCTTGGCATTGCCTTTTTGCAGGTTGCAGTCGTCTGACGTCTGGCAAATGTCATTAGCCCCACCTGCGGCAATAGAAAAGAAAAGCAGCGGCAGCACGAGCATAAATCGCATTAGCCCAAATCTTGAAACGTTGCCACCGCATTCGGCTGCCTTCTCTCAGATATACAAAATACTTATATATATATATATTTATTTATTTATATATATTTTTTTATTTATTTATATATTTCTTTATTTTATTTTATTTTTTGTGGGCCAAGTGCTGTGGGCGTGGCGTTTGGCTAATCGAATCACAGGGCATTAATCGTGTTAATCAGGCATTAGGCTTCACACGTCAGCCAAGGCAATTTGCAATTTGCAGCTTTAATTGATATGTACAAGGGAAAACACACACTCACACACATACATTGTCGCACACACTATAATGACTTAATTCCCGTTAAGCAGCAGCACGCTGCGACAAGTAGCATGCCCCGGCGACAATTTCGACGCCCCGTTGCGTTCGCTGCCTGCAATTCTAAGCAGCCTTTGCCACACGTATTACTATAATACGAGCGACCCCTGCCCCGCCCAC